GGTGATTGGGGAGTATATTGAGTTTTATGATCAGAATATTGAGGGATAGAATTCTTGGCGACCGAAGATGTAGCTGTTCGTACAGAAGTTATTTGAATTTGTTCTGATGTCGAATCAGATGCTGTGGGAACAGAAGACGATATTTTAAGGTGATCTTTGACGGCTGGTGATGGAATTAGTTGTGATCTAGATGCCGACAGGACTGGTGCAGATGTTCGTGCCGGTTTTTTTTCTTTGAAATGATCATCCACACATTTTTTTGCAGCATGCACTACAATATCTAAAAGGCTCGACAATGCGTTTTTTGCTCCTGCATACAGCTCTTCTTCTAAATGTGATTGCTGTTTTAATACATCTTCATGCTGGGTCTAGAGATAAATAATCAACTAATAGAAGCTGAAGATTTTGAAGACAAAAGAACGAGAACATACGTTTTTTTGTCGCAAGCGTTCATTTGCTAATTCTTGTTCTAGATTCTTTTTCTCTTGACGAAGTCGCTCCATCTGAGAAAAATTCATGAGTAAGTGGAAGTAGAATAATAACAGGAAAATAAAAATAGCCTTACTTCCGATTGTTTAGCTTCCTCTTCAAATACTCTTTGTTTTTTTTCGAATTGTCGTAGTAGTTCGATACGTTGATATTCAGCATTCGTGTAATATTCATCATTATTTTCTGTGACCATTTTATTGATCATTTCAATTAATTCTTTAATTTTTTCTTCTGTAACATTCTTGTTGTTAATCGACAGATAACGATTCTGATATTGGTGCATCAAAGAATGTACTCGATTTGATTTCTTTACACATTTTTGAATTGTATCACCTGGCTCAAGTTGATCCTCATGAGTGAAAATGAATATACAATATCTGACTGCATTAGAACCAAACATTGATCGGATTAATTCAATTATTTCTTCGTCAAGCGATGTAAATCGGTCTATACGACAAACAATCAAGATAGCATGTGGACCAGGTGATGTTTCTTCAAAAATTTGTTCTCCAATAAGCTGAGCAATTGCATCGTGATCTTCTCGTGTAGAACAGACACCCATTGTATCAGTCACAGAAATTTTCACTGCTTGATTCATCTCATCGTCTAAATATCTACGACATGAGCCTGTCGAGCATTGGTCTGTTACAGGATCAAACTGACGAACACTTTCAAAAAACTGGCGTCCCAGAATTGAATTTCCAAGAGAACTTTTGCCTATAAATAGAAATACAAATTAAAAGTATTAAAAATCAAAAGAGCTGTCAATGTGAGAGTAAGTAAGTTCAAAAC